ACATCTTTAATTGCTATTAATTCCTTAACCAAGTGCAGTGTGGATTCTGGCTTCACCACCTGCTTGAACAGCCTTCTTGCCAAATGGGGAGAATTTTCTACTATCCTTCAACCAGTTGTATGTCTTGAACATGTTTTTTGTTTTTACATCTCTGTTTTGATTGTTGACCTTGGCAAAGTCTCAGCCTCCTTTCCTTACAAAGTTTCATTTTGAAATCCAGTTGGAAAAGCCCTGCAGCCCGAGGGCATGAATCTCCAGTTTCAAAGTAGTTCTGACCACTTCTGTTGTTTTGTTTTGGTCTATGTTCATTTGTTATCTAAAACCAAATAAAAATGATAGCAGCCATAGCTAGGAATTAGATCATTCCTTAGGTTCTCAACCTTCCTAATGCTGCGACCCTTTAATACAGTTCCTCATGTTGTGGTGACCCCCAACCATAAAATTATTTTTGTTGCTACTTCATAACTTTCATAACTGTAATTTTGCTACTGTTATGAATCGTAATGTAAATATCTGATACGCAGGATGTATTTTCATTGTTCGTGACCCACAGGTTGAGAACCGCTGCTAGAGCTTTCATAGATCATTTCATTTGATCCTCATAAGACTATTCAGGTAGGTTATTAGTATTGTAGTTATAGACCATGTTTGAAATGCAAATAGCACATTATTTGTTTTAGTTGAGAAACACCAGATTTGGTTACAGTTTCCTTTTCCATGAACCATCATTTGGTGGGAGCATCCATCCTGTGACCCTTGTGGATACTTTTGTCTTTCTGCTTTCTGCTGGAATGCTAGCTTTTTTGGGTTGGAGCAGGGAGGGTAGGCTGGAGGGGAGTAGAGATAGAGTTGGATTCTTTGGGAAGATTGTGAGGAACTTGCCCCAACAGCCTTTTAATGCAGGACCAGTAGTTGTCAAGTGCACAAACTTGTGCCCTACGAACCAGTATGAAATAAACCTTGGAGGTTGTGGTTACCTGAGTGTGATGAGCTCAGGTTTTTCCCCAGGATCTACTCTAAAATGATTACTATGAGAAAAAGTTGTGGAGCAGGTGTCATTGGAAGATATGTCCTTAGTTTTCAGGAATCCATTTTGGCTCCAGAAGAACTATTGATTTATTTTAACTGAATAACTGACTTTAGTTCAACAAATATCTCTTGAGTTATATTTATTTTTATGTTTTGTCAGTAAGTTTCTTTGACATGTGAGATTTTCCTTTGATTCTTTTTTTTTTTTTAATTAAATCTTTATTGTTCAGGTTACATTTGTTCCTCTTTTTTTCCCCCCCATAACTCCCCTCCTCCCAGTTCCCGCCCCACCCTCCGCCCTCACTCCCCACCCACTGTCCTCATCCATAGGTGCACGATTTTTGTCCAGTTTCTTCCCGCATCTCCCATTCCCCTTTCCCCCCCAAGAATAGTCAGTCCATTCCCTTTCTATGTCCCTGATTCATTATAATCACCAGTTCATTCTGTACAAAATCAGATTTATTCACTTGATTCTTAGATTCACTTGTTGATAGATGCATGTTTGTTGTTCACAATTTGTATCTTTACCTTTTTCTTCTTCTTCCTCTTAAAGGATACCTTTCAGCATTTCGTATAATACTGGTTTAGTGGTGATGAACTCCTTTAGCTTTTCCTTATCTGTGAAGCTCTTTATCTGACCTTCAATTCTGAATGATAGCTTTGCTGGATAAAGTAATCTTGGTTGTAGGTTCTTGCTATTCATCACTTTGAATATTTCTTGCCATTCCCTTCTGGCCTGCAAAGTTTCTGTTGAGAAATCAGCTGACAGTCGTATGGGTATTCCCTTGTAGGTAATTGAGTCTCTTTCTCTTGCTGCTTTTAAGATTCTCTCTTTGTCTTTTGCTCTTGGCATTTTAATTATGATATGTCTTGGTGTGGTCCTCTTTGGATTCCTTTTGTTTGGGGTTCTCTGCGCTTCTTGGACCTGTAAGTCCATTTCTTTCACCAGGTGGGGGAAGTTTTCTGCCATTATTTCTTCAAATAGGTTTTCAATATCTTGCTGTCTCTCATCTTCTGGCACCCCAATGATTCTGATGTTGGTACGCTTGAAGCTGTCCCAGAGGCTCCTTACACTATCTTCGTATTTTCGGATTCTTTTTTCATTTTGCTTTTCCGGTTGGGTGTTTTTTGCTTCTTCGCATTTCAAATCTTTGACTTGATTCTTGCGCTCCTCTGGTCTGCTATTGGGTGTAATATTCTTTATTTCCGACCGTGTATGCTTAATTTCTAGTTGTTTCTTTATCATAGCATCGAGGGTCTCATTAGTTTTCGTGAGGCTCTCCAAAAGTTTATTGCAAGCCCTCAAAATTGCGTTTTTTAGCTCTATATCCTCCATTTCTGTCATGTTTTTTTGTCTCCGCATTTTTTATGCTTTCTTGGTGCACCCCCTAGTGGTCTTTGTGCGCAGTCTTGTTCTAGTTGAGCCTTGATTGTTGTAGTTAATACTAGAGGGATTTGACCACCAGGCCGACTGGCTGTGTGAATCAGCTGTGTCTGCCGCGGAAAACTTCTGTCCTCTGGGGAGGTGCTAATCTAGCCTTTGCCTGAGGCGATCCGGCAAATGGCTCTGCGCAGGGCTTGGGCGGGGCGGGCTCAACAGGGCGGGCGGAGGGAGCGGTTATGGTGCCCTCAGTCCCGTTCCCAGAGGCTCTGCTTCTCAGAACCCCAGGAACCGCTGCAAACCTCGGAGAGAAAGCTGCCTTCCAACTGATGCCAGACACTCCCGCTTCTCCCGTTTGAGTCCGAGTCCCCAGCGATTCGCCCGTATCTGGAGCTCAGAGTCTGAGACTCCCCCCTGACCGAAAACGACAACCGCGCTCTCAGCCACCAGCCCGCTTTGCGCGCGCACCTCCGCACCTGAGTATTTTCCACACTGCGCCTCCTCTGAGCCTCGGTGTGCTGTTATTTTTCCTTCTAGTTGAAGAGTCTCTCCTCAGCCAGCCTTCCTGTGGTTCTGGGTGATGTCCGTTCCGTCTTTTAGTTGTATTTTTGAAATGGTTGTTTGCGGCAGCAGTCTCCGGCGTTTACCTATGCCGCCATCTTGGTCTCCTCCTCCTTTGATTCTTTTAAATATTCCCATGAACTTTTTAAAAAACAGCTAATTCCTTTTTTCAAGTGAAATGGTGCACCAAATCAATTTATGAAACAGACGGAACATTTTTTTTGATATATAAACTCATTTTGGAAATTTGAATTTATAACATTTACTTTGAAAGTCAGTTGTCATTACATAGCCATCAATGAGGCTGGTTTGATCACCACAAAAACCTGAAATGGGACCTAACTGATTTGGCTCAGTGGATAGAGCCTCGGCCTGCGGACTGAAGGGTTCCTGGTTCAATTCTTGTCAAGGGCATGTACCTTGGTTGCAGGCTCGAACCCCAGTAGGGGGCGTGCAGGAGGAAGCTGATTGATGTTTCTCATCAATGTTTCTATCTCTCTATCCCTCTCCCTTCCTCTCTTCTCTAAAATTAAAAATATATTTTAAAAAAACCCCAGGGGGTTGGGGGGCAAGGGGGCGTATAAGGACACATATGTAGTACCTTAATCAATAAAGAAAAAAAAAACACCCAAAACATGAAATGGGTTAAAAAGATTGCAGCCTTAGTCTTGCGTTTTAGTTATTTCTACGTTTGAGAAAATTGTGTAGCTTTTCAGTTTAACTTGCAATCTAAGGATATTTTATAAAATTCAGATGAGAAAATTCCTGTCATCACTCAGCATGTCAAAGTTCAGTTGTCATTGCACAGCCATCAGATCATGACCGCAGCAGGAGAGGGACAGCATGCCTGACACTGCTTGAACGTGCCCTCGTGTACTGTGTTGTGTGCTCACATGTGCCAGTTGATGTAGATGGGCTGGTGCAAGCCTGATTTAGCTTCGGTAATTAGTACTCATTGTAAGATGTGCTGGTTTATCCAGGGAGATGGCCCAAGTTCTTCAGTCTCCTGAAAAGTCAGTTACCAAGTGGAGGCCTCTAGTAATATTACAGTTTGATACATAACACATTTGAATATGGACTTCTTTTAAAGCATAGTTTTTGTAAGTCAGCTTTTACTCTCTGGGCAATGGAGAGGATGTGGGAAATGGAGTAGGGGGAAGGTGGGTGGGAAGATGGGAATTAAGAGATAATTAAGCAACCAGAACTGCTGTTGGCTCTTGATTATCTCTGGGAAGATTAATGCCAGTGAGGATTCAGAAATGGTGTGGGAATGCTCACTTTTTGCAGATGGGCTGTGTGGAGGAGTGTTGACTCAAATTCTGTTGCTGCAACTGATGCGAGAGAAGAGGAAGTGGGTTTGAAAGAGGGGGTGGGCGAACTTTGGAGTCTTGAGCCCTCTCCTCTCATTCTCCACCCAAGCCGTTTTGCTGAGAGTCCGGCTCTCTCTGTGGGTCTGTGATTGGAGGTGCTCTCTAATTTTGAGTTCCTGCTCAGCTTGGCTCTTACTGCACCTTAATCTCTGTTGGCTGCTCATGTGAGATTGAGAGTTGACAGGATGTGTGACTCTTGAATTGAAGCACCTGCAAAACCCTGAGAATCCATGTAGCAGTTTAACTACAATTTCTCTGAATCCAGGTTATGCAGACATGGGGTGTAGTCTATAGGGAACCCTAACCTTTTCCCTGAATGTCTTAACACTGCCTATTCAGTCATGGGCTGTTAATTTGCTTTCAATATGTTTCCGGAATTAAATTTTGAATGATTTGCTTCTTTTTTTTTAAGCATAAATAATTGAAAACCAATTGCATTGTAGCATGAATTTATGGAGTATACTAAAACCTTTGGTTTCAAGCCAGTTGGAAAGTTCCCTTGTTTTTCTGGCTTATACCATGTATTTGAAGAATGTTGAACCAAGATGTTTTCAATAAGTAAATTGCTATTGCTGTTGAATGTGACCTGGAAGAAACTGAGGAACAGTAGAACTAAAGTTACTGTTTATTGATTTTATTTTTTCAAATTCTTTTGTTAGGCATCTGAAGAAACCTCCCTCAGGGCATTGGAAAGTCTGATGACAGAGTTTTTTCATGACTGTACAACCAATGAGAGAAAACGTGAGATAGGTAAGTGAAGTGTTGAGTTGTAGTCATTTGTAATGGAAAAGCCCCAGTGGGGAGGGAGAGTTGGTAGCCTTGGCTTGTCAAGCCTGAATGTTACTCCTTAAGTTCTTGTTCTTTTGGCTCTGGTTCTGCTGGTTGGTGGCCGGTGAGGTCCGCCAATCTAGCTGCAAGGGCTATGTACTAGTAGTTCATGGAGCCCCCGGTAATCCACAGTGATGGATTTTCTTTCTTTTGATAAAGTGTGGGAAAACCCTCCTCCTGCTTTGTCCTTGGTTTTAGCAGTGTTGAACTTTATAAGAAGCCTGTAAGTATTAATTTTAAAAAATTCAAAGAAATGTTAAAACGAACAAGTTTTTGGTGTGTAGATGTCTAATCTAAACCTCATCTAGTGCCCAGAGATCCTTAAACTGGTCTTACCTCTGGGGGCTTCTTGCTTCTTTTTCCTTATCTCCATTTCCTTATCTCTGTTATCCCACCCTTTCTGCAAGTTTTTATGAATGAAGACTTCAAACAACAGAGAGGTGTAGGTATTTACCTCAGGTCTTTAGGGAACCTCAGTGCCTTTTAGAACCTCTTTGATTTTATATTCATTGACATGAACAATATTCTTTAAAGCGTACTTTAAACTAGAAGTGTATACAGATATCAGATCTCTGTCTCAGGGACATGTTGCTCTATGGTCCTAGTATAATCCTTTTTTCTCCCAGGCCTCAGTTAAACCCTGAACTTGAAAATGAAAAATTTTTTCTCTTTTCAAACTTAAAGGGTTTTTCCCTTGGATGTTTGTACTGACCTTACATTCATTGCTTTTACCTCCTTGGAGGTCTTTATGTGGAATTCTGTGGAGGCCCATTTCTCTGTCCCATTTGGCTTCTCTGACACGTTGACAAGTTAAGTGTTATGGCTGATTATGGTTGAGTTCCGCCTTTTGTCCAAAGCTTGATTGGAGTTTGGATTTCGAGGTCGCCAGTACGGCTTTGACTAGAGCCCATTTCCCTTTGCATCCTTTGAGCATCACGTCAGCTCCTGGTAGATGCTAACCTTTTATCTCTTAATTTTAAACTTGGTGTTCTCTTTTGGGCTTGCCCTTTCTTTTCTGAGGACTAGAGAACCAGAGCATTTCTAAACAAGGAGTACTGACAGAAGCTGAGCCCAGTAGCTGAGAAGGCATTTGGCTTGAAGGATTCACTTTGCTTGCTTCCCTAGATCCTCTCGTATTACACAGTTAGCCTGACCCTCCTCCTGCCCCCAGAGTGATCCCTGTTAGTTTTATGCTATTAAAGTACTTTATAGTGAAAACATCACTGGTGATTTTTACCCAAGAAGGTAAAGGATCTTTCCCTTATACTGTCTACTATAGTTCAGTACTAATTTCTCTGAAATCCTGTTTTTCACTCATACTTGACTTGCTTTTGGTTTTTCTATTAATTTTTGGTTTGCAAAGCAAATACTGCTCACCTTCAGCATTCATGAATGAAAAGTAGAACCTTCGGAACATGTTTGTATTCTAATCTTATTTAAATAACCAGATGCTATAAATGTCTAATTTAAATGAAGAGTGAGAGGAATCGGGGGTTTGGTTCCATAGAATGGGTGTGTCTTAGTTCAGCTTCATTCCAGTGTGGGCTGGAACCACTTGTTTCCTTTTTGATATCTTAGAATGAACTAAAGGTGCACCTAGCTAGGTGGGAGAAAGGCGCCGCCCACTCGCTACCAAAGGTGTGTTATTAGTGCTCTAGAGAGAGAGCTGTCAGTAGGGAACCTTGAGAGACAAACCTGAAGCATCATAGAGGAGCAGCAATTCTCTAGGGATCAGACTCAGTGATTTAGTGGCAAGTTCTAGAACAGAACCCTGAGTTCCTCATTTCCAGCCAGAGCTCATTCTCTTCGGTTTGACTTGACATCTGGGATTCATAGGAATTTTTATTTGATTATAAGAACAGGTCATCAGCTTCCTTTTATGGAATTTGTAATGAGCCTGCCTTCGTGCATGTAACCTAAGTCCTAGGGTCTAGCAGAGCAGTGACTTTAGGATTAGAACTGGCTGCTGTGCTTCCTTCTTTTCCAAGGGCTTCCTAGAATCTCTCAGGGTTGTTGCCTTTTCCTGTTACATTTCATGACCAGTACAGCAGGTTAAGGTGACTGAGGGCAGCATGTGCAGAAACATGGTGATAGACTTGTAATGCTTGCTGTCTGTGGTCCTGGATGATGCTACCGCAGCCCGAGGAGGAGGAAACCATTTCTAACTGATTTGATGTGGACAGGGCTGTTCTTGGCATCTCCCATGATTGCTACTCTTTTTTACTTTTTTGGCTGGTAGTTAAAAATAAAACTAAACCAAATGAAGAGAATTAGCCATCTTGCATTCACTTGCATTTTTGTCTATTCTTTGTTTATATTTTTTTCCTATTTCTCTAGCCAGCATTTTTGTGTGTGTGTGTGAACAGTGTGAGTGAGTGGTGGGGAGATATATACAAGGTATCTCCAAAATAGCTGATAGCTCCATTTTGAAAATGAAATGTATGTTAGTAAATACTGCCTTATAATTACTCAGAGACACCATAGATATATCTCCTGCCCCAGAGGAAACATGTTAGCACTTAGCCATCATTTATAAGGTGAAATGATACTCTTATAACTGTCTATCCACACATTAGGTTAAGTAAGAACTTGAACAATTAAAGTTTCTCTGCTGAAAAAAGTGCCTATTGCAAGCTTACTGACTTTAAAATGCCTGAATACACTGTCAGTGCTCATGGTCATCTCAGAGTTGGAAAAATATGGGCTGTCCTTTCTGTGTTGAAAAATAAGCTGGATTTTGTAGTTGGTTTTGACAACATTAGCATATGTAGAGGGCGGCGCATTTTAAAAAAATAAGACAGCCCAGCCTTGTATTAATTTTATATATTTTCATAGCCTTCTTTTGTTGCTATTTAACTTTTCCAGAGGAGCTTCTTAATAACTTTGCCCAGCAAGTAGGAGCCTGGAGATTCTGCCTGTACTTTCTCTCCAGCACTAGGAATGACTATGTAATGATGTACAGTTTGACGGTTTTTGAGGTAAGTTGTCAGATAATTCTATACTGTTTTGAAAAGCATTTGTAGTCACATTGCCATGTCATTGGCACGAGACTTTAGCTTTGACGTACAGATGGCTGGGAAACAGTGGTAACTTCACTCAGGGGCTTCTCCACTTGCTGCCATTATCAAGGTGTCTGGTGTGCTGGGGGCATGGTTCTGTCTTTGACACCAGAAAGGTAAGATGGGGTCGAGTAGGTAGGTCCTTTGTGGTAGTATATAATTTTCCTTCCATGTTATCATTAAAAAAAATTTTTTTTTATTGTTTTCAGAAAGGAAGGGAGAGGGAGAGAGAGATACAAACATCAATGATGAGAGAGAATCACTGATTGGCTGCCTCCTGCATGCCCCCCTACTGGGGATCATGCCCGTAATCTGGGCATGCGAATTGAACCCAAGATCCTTCAGTCTACAGGCAGACGCTCTATCCACTGAGCTAAACCAGCTAGGATACCACGTTATCATTTAGAAAAAGATAATTAAAGTTTGGGAGGAGGGATGATACCCAGAATATTCTCATCCTAAGCACAAAAATTTTCATTTTAATCAACTCGCTTCCCATTTTTGTCTTCCTATATACACTTAAAAAAACCAATTATAATAATCGTATTGCTCATGCCACTTTATATTATGCTCCCTCCCTTGTCTTTATATAATATTTCTGTAAGTGGTTATACCATTGTTCACCAAGCCATTCTTCTGTTTTTGAACATAAGTTGTTTCTGTCATTATTTTGTGGTGGCCGTTAGAGACAGCCATGTAATAGATAGTTTTACACGTACAGCTTTTTTATTTCCATTAAATTATTTAGCAGATCTTTCCAGGAATGGAATTGTGGTTTTATAGGATTTGAATATTTTTATCACTCTTATTGCAACATTGCATTGCTCCAAACCTTTGTTTACAATCAGGATTGCTTGTTTGAGGTGATACAGCTAACCATTGGATGAAAATCAGTTATTTTTATGTATAGATGGCTAACTTCAGGATGTATATTTGTTTTTCAGAATCTGATCAATAAAATGTGGCTTGGGGTCCCATCTCAGGATAAGATGGAAATCCGTAGCTGCCTACCCAAACTCCTTTTGGCTCACCACAAAACCTTACCTTACTTTGTCCGGAACAAGCTCTGCAAAGTTATTGTTGATATTGGCCGTCAGGATTGGCCCATGTTCTATCATGACTTTTTTACTAACATTTTACAGGTAAGGACATATCTGAGGAAACTTTATCTTGTATATACTTTGTTTGTAGAAATGATTATTTCCTTTCTTGAAGAGGAGTTTTAAGATTAGCATTTTGGAGCTACAGTAGTGATAAATTCACTTAATTTTGTATTCTTGAGAGGTGCAGTGGAGAAAGAGTGTGGGAAACCCAATTGCTTTGTTAACCTCTTGTGAAATTTTGTTCAGCAAATATTTAAAAGCCTGTTAGGTACTGTGCCAGGTATTAGAGTGCAAGGATGAGGCCTTCAGAGCCATAATTTGATAGGGAGATAGCTGTGCTAACAGTAATTATCCAACAATATGGCAATTACTGTAGTGGAAGTATGTGTAGAGTGCAGTGGCGGCATAGCATTTAGACTCAAGGTGCTGAAGTACCTTGTTGCTGGTGGTGAGATGAGAGGTAGTGTTCAGCGTAAGAGGATAGATTGATGGGCAGGGGCCAGCCCAGGACGGGCCTGGCTCAATGACGAGTTTGGAGAAGGGAGAAAATGGCACATTTTTATGTTGGAGTGATAACTTCAGCAATCGTGTGGAGTGTGGATTGCAGAGGGGCTGCAGTGAAGGTGGCCAGTAAGGCTGCTGTTTGCCAAGTCTGAGTGAGACAAGGAGAATCTGAGCCAAGCAGAGAGGCCTGCCTGGTAGATAGAGGCGAGGCACTTAGGAGACAGAGTAAAAAAGCTTTGGTCAGTGGGTGGTGAGGGTCAAGGAAGGGAGGAATCTAGTAGGATGTTTTCCAGATTTCAGGCTTAAGTAGCAAATTTTCCAGGCCAGGGATGAAGAACAAAGGAATGAATTTTGGTAGATGGTAAATTTAGTTTGGCAGAAAAGACACTTAAAATTAGTTCCTTCAGTATATATCTTGTGAGACATTAGGAAATGTGGATCTGGGGTTCAGGAAAGAGGTCTTACTACATACATGTCAGGATTGGAAGTCATCAGGGAATAACTAGAGGGGACCTAAGCCAAGAGGGAGATGATGTTCATCTGAATCATGTGATACAGCTGGAAACGAAGTAGTACCCGATTTACACGATTAACTCAGAATAATTTAAGGTTGCACAGCCAGTTGGTACTGGAGTTGGGTGTTTTGGTTTTTTTTTTAATATATTTTATTGATTTTTTACAGAGAGGAAGGGAGAGAGATAGAGAGTTAGAAACATCGATGAGAGAGAAACATCGATCAGCTGCCTCCTGCACACCTCCTACTGGGCATGTGCCCACAACCAAGGTACATGCCCTTGACCGGAATCGAACCTGGGACCTTTCAGTCCGCAGGCCGACGCTCTATTCACTGAGCCAAACTGGTTAGGGCTGGGCATGTACTCTTAACTGGAATTGAACCCGGGACCCTTCAGTCCGCAGGCCGATGCTCTATTCACTGAGCCAAACTAGCTAGGACTTTTTAAATTCTTTATGATGTTCATCTGAATCATGTGATGCTGCTGGAAACATTTTACTTCTTTATTTTTTATTTTATTTTGAAAAACTTTATTGTTGAGAGTATTACAGATGTTCCCCTTTGCCCCCTTCAACCTGATTCCCTCCCTGCCCCAGGCCTTCAACTCCCTTTTGTCTGTGTCCATAGGTAATGCATATATGCATATAAGTTTTTGGTTAATCTCTTCCTGCCCCCTCCTCCCCCCTTCCCTCTGAGATTCGACAGTCTGTTCCATGTTTTCATGCCTCTGGTTCTATTTTTTTCATCATTTTAGTATTTTGGACTAAGTGAGCTTTAAAATCTTTTCAAGTTTTATTCTCTGTTGCTTATTTATCCATGAGAACCAGTCAGTGGCATGAAAACCATGTCAAGAATGATTGGTGCTCAATTGCTGACATTTCTGATAATGATAATAAAGTGCACCTTTTCTTCAGGTATTGGTAAACAAGACCAAATTGGTTCTGGAATCAACTTCATCATTACATGATTCTTTGATTAAGCCATCTGAAAGGTTTTTTGGACTCAGTTCCATCATGGTCTGCTTGCAGTCTGGGTTGCATAGTTTTTAAATTAAAAAAAATTTTTTTTTTAAACTCTGACAGTTGGCTGAAACATCTATGCAATTTATGCCACCATCATTTTTATTTTTCAGTTGACATACAATATTATATTAATTTCAGGTGTACACCCAGTGATTAGGGAGGAGTTGATTCAGGGCCCCAGAGGATACTTGCAGTTCTGTGCATTGGTTGTACCCTTTCTAGGCTACTGAGAAAGAAGTAGTTACAGTCAAAACTTACTGACAACCTCCCTGAACCTCTCCCCTATCCCTGCCATGCACTAGCATACATACTACACCAGGGGTCCTCAAACTTTTTAAACAGGGGGCCAGTTCACTGTCCCTCAGACTGTTGGAGGGCCGGACTATAGTTTAAAAAAAACTATGAACAAATTCCTATGCACACTGCACATATCTTATTTTGAAGTAAAAAAACAAAACGGGAACAAATACAATATTTGTATTTGCATGTGGCCCCTGGGCCGTAGTTTGAGGACCCCTGTACTACACCTTTCTAGTCTATTCTTCAGGTTCCTGAAATCTGCTGAGCTGGATCTGTAGCCACTGTGCTGGGCCAGATAATTTAGGAGCAAGCAGCATAGGAAAAGAATTGCCTTTTCTCCCCTGATTGTTCTTTCAAGTAACGAATAACTTTCATTTTCATCCTGTTTCTTGCCTGTCTTCCCTTCTTTCAATGATGAAAAAAGGAGGGCTTTAAGATAACATTTTCCATATTGTAGGGATTTATTTCTAGGGAGCACAGAAGCATTTCATATCTATAGAAAAGTGTATTGCCAAATGGAATTTTGGTTGCACAAGTCATTCCCAGCTGAAAGAGTAAGGTTGAAGTTTTGAGGGAAAATAGAGACACTAAAGAGAAAAAAAGAAAGAAGTGAAAGGGGGAAATAATGGAAATCTTATAAAATACAGAAGGATAACCCAAATGGAAAGAGGTGCTTATGAAGGGTCAGTTCTACTTTATTGGAGGAAAAATTGTTACATGAGGATTTTCTGTCCCCCAACTCACCACTGCATTATCTGAATTTAAGTTGGTGTTAGAAATAGTCCAAACTTGTGGAAAATGAAGAGAAAACTTGGAGGATGTACTTGAAGTTTTAGCGTTCAAGAGAACTGATTTAATAGAGAGCTTATTAAAAAGATGAGGTAACATTGGTTTAATCACATAAATTTCAGGTTGACAACATTACAACTTGATATCTGTATACTCTACTGCATGCTCACTACCAAAAGTCTAGTTTCCATCTGTCACCAATAGAGAGCATTAAAAAAAAATTGTTGTCAGTATACTTTTTTAAAAAGGTTTTTAAAATTGATTTTTAGAGAGAGAGGAAGGGGGAGAGAAATATCTATGTAAAAATGAAATATCTATCGGCTACCTCCTACATGCCCTCTGTTGGGGATCAAGCCTGAAATCTGGGCATGTGCTCCTATTAGGAATTGAACCGACAGCCTTGTGGTGCACAGGACGACACCCAACCACCTGAGCCACACTGGCCAGGACTAGAGAGCATTTTTAATATGTCATTAATTGCTACTGGTTTTACATAATGCTGTTCCTGAGAGCAGTTGAATTTATCAAAGTTTCCATTATTTGAGTGCCTTTCCTTGGTCTGCAAAGGGAAGAGTTGTTTTCAGGCAAAGGAAAGTGCCCTATATTTCTTTCTTTAAATCATTTTTATTTTTCAGTTGACATACAATATTATATTAATTTCAGGTGTACACCCAGTGATTAGACATTATATAACTAAGCGATCATCCTGATAAATCTTGATTTATACATAGTTATTAGAATATTATTGTTTATATTCCCTATACTGTACTTTACATCCCCATGACTATTCTGTAACAACCAATTTGTACTTCTTAATCCCCTTCACCTTTTTCATCCAACTCCCGCCTCGGCCCCTCCCATCTGGCAACTATCAAAATGTTCTCTGTATTGAGTCTGTTTCTGTTTTGTTTCCTTGTTTATTTTGTTGTTATTTTACATTCATTTGTGGATAGACATGTATTTATTTCTATTTTATTGATCATATTTTTGATCTTTTTTTTTCTTATTATTCTTCTTAAAGAAGACGCTTTAACATTTCATATAATACTGGTTTGGTGGTGATTAACTCCATTAGCTTTTCCTTGTTTGGGAAGCTGTCTGTCCTTTGATTCTAAATGATAGCTTTGCTGGGTAGAGTAATCTTGGTTGTAACTCCTTGCTTTTCATCACTTTGAATATTTCTTGCAATTCCCTTCTGTCCTGCAAAATTTCTGTTGAGAAATCAACTGACAGAATTATGGGAGCTCTCTTGTAGGTAACTAACTGTTCTGCTCTTGCTGCTTTTAATTTCTTTAAAAATTTTCTTGAATCCTCACCTGAGGATATCTTTTCCTCACTGATTTTTAGAGATAGTGAAAGGGAGGGAGGGGGAAAGAGGAAAAAGGAGAGGGAGAGGGAGAGGGAAGGGAGAGAGAGACAAAGAGAGAGAAACATTGATGTGAGAGACACATTGATTGGTTGCCCCCCGCATGTGCCCCGACCATGGCCAGGGAGTGAACTTGCAACCCAGGTTTGTGCCCCTGATGGGGAATCCAACCATGACCCTTTGGTTTGCGTGGGCCAACACTCTAACCACTGGCCAGAACAAGATACTCTTTTTGTCTTTAACCTTTTGCATTTTAATTATGATGTATTTTGGTGTGAGCCTCTTTGGGTTCATCTTGTTTGGGATGTTCTGCACTTCCTGGACTTTTATGTCTATTTCCTTCTGTCATTTTTAAAAGTAGGTTTTCAATTTCTTGCTCTCTCTCTTCTTCTTCTGGCACTCCCATGATGTGAATGTTGGTATGCTTGAAATTGTCCCAGAGACTCCTTATACTATCTTCTATACTAGTTTTTTGGATTTTTTTTTTTTTTTCTAAGAGACGGGGTCTCACTATGTTGCCCAGGCTGGAGTGCAGTGGCTATTCACAGGCATGATCCCACTACTGATCAGCACGGGAGCTTTGACCTGCTCCGTCTCCGACCTGGGTCGTTTCACCCCTCCTTAGGCAACCTGGTGGCCCCGCTCCCGGGAGGTCACCATATTGATGCCAAACTTAGTGCGGACACCCGATCGGCATAGCGCACTACAGCCCAGAACTCGTGGGCTCAAGCGATCCTCCAGCCTCAGCCTCCCGAGTAGCTGGGACTACAGGCGTGCGCCACTGTGCCCGGCTAGTTTTTTGGATTCTTTTTGCTGTTCTGATTAGGTGTTTTTGCTTCCTTGTATTCCAAATTGCTGATTTGATTCTTGGTTTCATCTACTCTATTGTCAATTCCCTGTAACTTATTCTTAATTTCAGTTAGTGTATCCTTCATTTCTCACTGGTCCTTTTTTATGGTTTCCATGTCCTTGTTTATGCTGTTGAAGTTCTCTCTAAGTTCCTGTACTCTTCCCCTAAGTTCATTGAGCATCAGAGGAACAATGACCTCTGCCAGCTCTTGTGTCTGGGGGAAAGCTGTCCCCCTAGCTCTTGCCTGATGCCAGATACTTCAGTTCCTCCCCTTATGTCCCTGGTGCCTTTCCAGCTGCTGCCCCAGTGCTGGAGTGCAGAAAGAGTGAGTTTGAGTAAGTCCACGTGCAGGCCCTTTAAGAGGAACTGCCTGGGACTCCAGCAGCCTCTGTCTCACTCAGTCTTAATTTCCCCTGGTTTGTATAGCTAGAAGTTAGGGGGACTTCTCTTCCCAGCACTAGAAGCCTAGGCCTGCTGTGGGGTTGGGACTCCTCGCTCCACAGCTGAGATATCCCTTCTGATTTTTATCCACCACGTGTGTGACCAGCCCGTTCTATGTCTCCACCCCTCCTCCTACCAGTCTCGATGTGGCTTCTTCTTTGAATCCTTAATTGTAGGACTTCCATTCAGCTAGATTTCAGGTGGTTCTGAATGAAGGTTGTTCTGTAGTTTAGTTGTAATTTTGATATGGTTGTCGGAGGATGCGAATATGGTGTTTACTGACGCTGCCATCTTGACTGGAAGTCTGCCCTATTGAAGTGGGGAATATACATTCTATCTGTGTGCAGTTCATCTTGTCCTTCTCTTCACTAAGGCTTATATTTTGTTGATTGAGTAAAGTATTTATTTGTATCAGAGCATGAACTACATTTAAAGTTAATTATGATTTAAGAAAATGGTCAAGTATTCCTTAAGTTGTTTGCTCTTTTATAGATTGTAGCATATAGCCAAACAAAGAATTTTAGTGGCAACTCATTTTCTTTTACCAATTCTGGAAACTAAAAAAATGCAATAGTAATGCTTTGAATTTTGTGAAATTGATTAGAAAGAGATAAGTAGTGCTATGCTATTGAAGGTGTTACCTTTTTTCTATTTCATGTTTAAGGAAACTTTATTATGGTACAGTGGATATTGTAGGTGCTAGAAAAAGTGACTTGCTGCATAGTTTTTTGTGAAGTTATAGCTGTATTCTTAGTGTAATGGTGTATATGCAATGTTTCTGCCTGCCATGTATTTAATCTTAAACTTGCATGAAGCATACAAAGTTTAGAAATGTAAAGTTGACTTAACACTTGAATGTTAAAAAGGTATCACAAGTTGGTGTACATATGTGTTAATAACTAATAAATTTGGACAAAGTAACCAAGGCTGTGTTTAAAATCTAGACATGTATAAAAATCGTCATGGTAGGTGTAAGGGAGCATTGTTGTCATTTTTAAGTTTATGATATTAGCATTTTTTATTTAAAATAAGATGAGAATATATTTTGAATGGTTAAAAAACCGACATAAGTGTGCTCTTAAGTCATTTTTCTAAACCGTTGATTTATGCAACCTATTTATGTATGATTAAACACACAGGCGTACTTTGCAGTTTATTATTACTCATACCTTAAACAGTTTTCTCAGAACTTACCTTTTCCTGGCAGTTGATTCAGTCCCCTGTGACTACCCCCCTTGGGCTGATCATGTTGAAAACAACTTCAGAAGAGCTGGCTTGTCCCCGTGAGGACCTCAGTGTGGCTCGGAAAGAGGAGTTGCGGAAGCTGCTGCTGGACCAGGTGCAGACAGTGCTTGGCCTACTGACAGGTGAGCACAGGTGGTGCCCAACGTCAGAGACCTGCCTTCAGAGGACCAGAGCTCAGGCCCTGGCTCTCAGTATATTTGAGCAGTTGTTTTAGCTGTTACTGAATCTGAGCATCAAAACAGAAAGAATGTGGTGCTATATTCCCAGCACCAGTCCAGTGTCTCGCACTTAGTAGACTCAAAAAATGTTTCTGACCTACTTTTCTTAAAGTCTTCCATTGATTGGTGCTCACTCTTACTGCGATTAATGAGGTATAGACCAGGCCATCGGGATGGGATTGAAATGCTGATTACTGTATCCTAAGTAAAGTGGGTGGCGAACACTCTATTGAAAATAATTTGTACTTAAAATCAGGAGAAATTGGAGGAGTAGGAAGATAGAAAATTTCAAATTTTGTGTGGGAGAAGTGGAGACAGACAAAGTGTGTAACAGCATCATGTGTGTTAGGTTGTATTAGTATGTAGCATTTTCTTTGCCATCTTTTCTGTTTTATTGGAGCCCCATGACAATGTGTGGAGAGTAAGAAGAAACAGAAAGCAAACTGACGAATGAGACAGGAGGGAGGAAGAGATTGGAGCACCCTGAGTCAGGAGGGCTGTGACCACTGTGCTGCCAGTGGGCCCTGCTTGTTAGGAGGTGCAGGGCAGCCTGGCTGAGAGGTGCCAGGAGCCTGGGCTTGCTTGGAAATGTAGTGTTGTCTTCAGCTTCTCTGTCCAGGTTTCTTGGATGCCTAGGAACTTTTTTCTTTTGTATGTGTTACAAAGGTGCTTAGCATGCAGTGGGCACTTAAAGTTGGTTATAAGAATGCTTGATCAAAAGTAATCTTGTTATTTGCCCACATCCCTCCCCAGATTTCTAGGCAGAAACCAAACCCTCAGAGCTTTCATTCAAAGCACTTATTGACATCCCTGACTAAATGTTAAATTTCTAGAGTTAGGGACTGTGTCTGATATCTTTACGTTCCACTTTGTGTAGCTATCACACTATATGGGACATTCCAGAACATTTACAGTGCTTCTTCCCTCAACCCACTGTCTGTCTCTATGGATTTTTCTAATTGGACTTTTCATAAAATGGAATCATACAATATGTGACCTTTTGTGTCTGGCTTCTTTTACTTAGCATGATATTTTCAAAGTGTATCCATCCCATAATATTAAATATTTTGGGAACAAAATATTTTCAGAAACTTTTGTGATCATAATAGGTACCAGGTTCTATAAGGAGAAACAAAGAGGAATGAAACACAGTCCCTGCCCTCTAGTAATGTTTACTTCATTAGGGGAGAAAGACGGTTAAAAAACTGCATTAAGAGTTATGGTAGAGGTGTGTTTTATGTGCAGGCAAAACCTAACAGACAGGAAGACTCCTTGGAGGAGATGAGCTGAGTGGAATTCTGAGGACCAGAGAGGTAGCCCTTAGTCTGGTGTAAAGGTCAAGTTGGGATTCTGGGGGAGGGAGCAGGTCAGAGGTTGAGAAAGGGAAGGGCAAGAGGAAGGAACAGCAAGTAGTGCAGCATGATGAAGCCTTGTGTGTGCGGTGGGGGTGAGGTGAGAAGGGAGAACAGAGGCCAGATGCTGAGATTGTGTGGGTTTAGTGAGTGAGGAAGATAAGAGGAGGCAGGCTTGTGGGGGGAAGGTAAATTGAGTTTGGAATATCCAAGTGGTGCTGTCCAAGAAGTAGTTAGACATACGGTTGAGAGGGATGTTTAGACATTGATGTTTGATCAAAGATATCAATAAATTGTTTTTCTAAATCTGATTTGCACATGTTGGACTTTATTTTTCTCTTAAACTCAGTTTCCCTTTCTTGGTATAGGTATCTTGGAGTCTGTCTGGGACAAACACAGCGTTACTGCCGCCACCCCGCCACCATCCCCAACCTCAGGAGAAAGTGGTATGGTCTGCCCACCACATGGTGTTCTTTTTAAATGCAGTGGAGGGTCTCAGCAGGGTAGCAACTGCTTATTTATGCCAGATCCAGATGCTGACTCTTCATTAGTCTATTTTTGGCCTTTTTGTCCATGTTTTCTGAGTAGCTTTCTTAGTTCCTCTTAAGTACTCACTCGTACTTCCTAGTACACTACTTACAATGACATGTTTTGTTTCTTCCTTGCCCATCAGGAAGATGGCACCTTTGATCTTCTGTCACCCACTTCCATCCCCTTCAGCTTATATCTCTGATCCTCCTGGTTTGTTTTTCCCTTTTTCTCAATTATCATGGCTGTGTTGCTCATGCATGGGGCTTGATAGGTCGGCTTTGATAGGCATCGCTGTTGTGGCAGAGGCTGAAGGAGGGGACGGGTACGTGGAGTGCTTTCTTCCCCACTGGGCTCATGAAGACCAGTGTGCAGTAATCAGCTTTGACGTCAGGTCAGAATAATTTGATAAAGCACGGGCATATTTGCAGTGGTCATTAAATAGTTTACTGTAGTTAGTTATTGTCTACAGTTACACTAATAGCTGTTTCAAAAGTCAGGGTGCAGTTCACCTAAAAATGGCTACTTTCAAGGATGGGTGGAAAGAGGAAATTGTGTCTGAGCTGGAACTTTTAGTTTCTAAATGCTTTTGTTTACACTAAATAATCACAAATGCTTTTCAAGTAGAGAGCATCCTGTGAATTGGCACATATTTCTTCCTCTACTGTAAAGGTTGCTGTGGCTAATGAGAAATATTTCCACATCTTTCTCCTCTACCCCAAGGAAATGTGATGTTGAAATCAGACATCTCTAAGCCCATGCTGTTTCACGTAACCTTTTTACAGAGAGGAAGGGAGAGAGATAGAGAGTTAGAAACATCGATGAGAGAGAAACATTGATCAGCTGCCTCCCGCACATCTCCAACTGGGGATGTGCCCGCAACCCAGGTACATGCCGTTGACCAGAATCAAACCCGGGACCTTTCAGTCCGCAGGCAGACGCTCTATCCACTGAGCCAAACCGGTTTCGGCTTCACGTAACCTTTTGTTAATATGTGGAAGTTGAAATTCTTGCAGTTACTAGAGAATTGAAAATATATCATGAAATTTGGGGACTGTTCAGAGTTTACTGGCCCGTGTGGCTCAGTTGGTTGGAGCATCATTGGTGATAGGTTCACTTCCCTGTCAAGGCACATATCCAGGCTGTGGGTTCGATCCCTGGTTGGGGCGCATGCAGGAGGCAACCCAACTGATTGATGTTTCCTTCCCTCCCTCCCTTCCTCCCTTCCTCCCTCTCTCTAAAACCAATAAAAAAATAAATAAATAAAAGTAAACACTAAAAAAATGTCCTGGTCAGTTTTGCTCAGTGGTTACAGCGTTGGCCCACAGGCCAAAGGATTGTGGGTTTGATGCCAGGTCTAGGGCATCTACCTTGGTTTTAGGTTCAATCCCCTAGCCCTGGTCAGGGCGAGTGTGGGAGGCAACCAGTTGATGTGTCTCTCTCACATCTATGTTTCTATGTTTCTCTCTCTCTCTCTCTCTCTCTCTCTCTCCCCCTCCCTCCCTCTTCCTCTCCCTCCTCCTTCCCTTTCACTCTCTGAAAAATCAATGGAAAAAATATTCTCAGTGAGGATTAAAAAAAAGTAAAAAAAAACATGTTTAGAGTTATTTATCATACTTCTTAGATTAAAATCTATTACAGAGGCCTAGAATATATTAAAAGCCCACAGAAAATTGAACTTTGTTTGTACTTTGTGGCAAACCTTCATTTTCAAGGTGAATGAATATTTGAGGTGACTTACCAGATTTATATTTTGCAATATTTGAATGACTGAAGAAAAAATTGCAAATGATACAGAGATTTGATTTTATGAATATATCCCTTGGAGTGTCCTGCAATTTAGCTAATCTTAAAATGTGTCATTTCACTTAAATAATAGTTTGCAAAGATTAGTTCTTTTGAATTAGATTTGTTTTTAGATAGTTGAATCCTAGCTTACTTACCATCCAGTTAAAGTTAACAGCATCAGGCATATTCCAGAAAAACTTGTTTTTCTGTGATGCTTTTCCACTACCAAAATATTTGTGTTTTAGTTGGCTTTGTTCAGGTACATTCCAAGCTAATAACTCAGTTTATACTTCGATAGACTTATTTTTTTGGAGCCCAGGTTGGGGAATATCAAATAATATAAATAAAAAATAATGTTTGCTCTTTATGTGTTGCCTAGGTTTTGTGTATGAGGTTAGGGAAAATAAAATATGAACTAATTTGACATTTCCATATAAATAAAACCTAAAAACATGGTGTGTATTTCTTGACAGTTGTCTCTTAGACACTATTAAATTTTTTTTGAAGTCTTGAATTTTAGTATTTGAGAAAAAGCAAAATAAATTGAGACTGTGGGCAGGGGAGGGGGCTAAGGAATTAAGTAAAGCTTTTTAAGCTGATATGCTTTCCCTTTAAAAAATAGAGTTGCACATTCAGTTGTTACTCTTCTCTTTGTGACAGCTGCAAGGGAAGTCATTAGATTTTGCCCTATTATTTGGACAGCACTGGTGATTTAATCAACATTTGTTTCAATGCTTTCACTCAACTGCCTTTATGCACTTAAGACACCAAGTTAAGCAGTAGAATTTCTAGAAAATTCCTTAGCTTTCTTGACCATAAGCTTAGTTTTTTGTAGGAAATTCATTCTGAGAGACGTTAGGACCCAGTGAGTACCTAAGTAACTTAAACACACTCATCAATAGTCCCTGATGGGCCCTCCTGCCCTGCCAGTCCTGTTCAGACCTAGCTCCTGAGCCTTTGGTCTCTTTTCTCATATACTGTCTTGTAAAGTTGTTTTCTGTCTTATCACTTTCAAAGAACAAAGCCCAGGGACTAGTTCTTAGAGCAACTACTCTAACAGTCGATAGAGAAAAAAGTCTTAAAGGGTGTGTGTGGTTTATTTCTCAGAATAGTTCCCCAAATTGTTGCCTTATCTCCTAAACTCCTTTCACTAGGCCAGATGTAGATGTGAAGTAGATGATGGTTTTATGTTTCGTTTACAAACAAGGAAGTTGGGGCCCAAGGGGGTTACTTGCCAGAGGTCACAGCACCAGTAAGTGGTGGAGCAGGGATGAGACTCCATCATTCCTAATCTACCTGCACTGTCTTTGTCCTAAGTTTGCTTTCGTGGTCACTCTCACCACTTTTGCCAGCCTCCTCCTTCCCCTGGTTTCGAGTCCTGGCTCTGCCACTTCCTCTGTTTGCCTTCTCTGACTGCTGCTGTCCTCTGAGGATGAATTGAGAGAAGATGTGGGTGTGTCCTCTGCAGGCTGTGACTGTTGCTGCCGTTTGCATTTATGCAGCCTCAGCCCTCTTAATTAAGTCTTCTCTTGTCTTCTTTTTGCTTGAACAATTGGAAAAAAGTGAACAAAATGAAATATAAATACTGCAATTCTGAGTCAGCTTTGATCTACAATAAAAATTTCTCATCTACATAGTATTTTCAAATACTGTATAGATGTGTACATGCACTGGTGAGGGAAAGTGTTTCAGGGTGCAGATGGATTAGAGAGGCCGAGTTGATTGAAACCAATTTATACCTTCCTATTTTTTCCCAAACTCTTTCCAAATGGCCCATCTTTGTGCACTTGTAAATCTTTTCATGCATTCCCGTATAAGCTACTTATAGAAAGATGGTACTTGGGAGGGTCACACACAACTCCTGTGATCTTATTTTCTTCTCCTACTGCTCCTGGAATAGAGTTTCTCGCCATGTGGTCAGTGGTTTTCAGTTGGGGCAATTTCGCCCTATAGGGAATTAATTTGGCAACATGGAGGAATTTTTTGTTTACCATAACTGGATGAAAGAGTACTACTGGCATCTGGCGAGTGGATGCTGGGGATGCTGCTAAAATATCCCACAGTGTACAGAACAACAAAGAATTACCCAGCTCAAATGTCAAGAGTGCTGAGGTTGGGAAACTCTTGAGTTAGTAGATACAGAATTGAATAGAAAGCATATGAAACTTTAATAATTAAAAAAATAGATGAGCTGAGGGCATCTTTGCATAAAAGCCTTACATGTGTTCCAACCAAGTCTATGTGCACCAGAGTGAGTCATCCACACACCTCTTGGGGCCTGGGTGCATGCTGCTGCCAGGGTCTGGCTCAGTTCAGGGAAAAGGAAGTCACCCATAGGTTTAATACTGAAGGTGTTCCCTTACACAGGGAGTTTGTTAAAGCTCTCTCAAGTTTTCTTTGGAAATGCTGCAATATGAAGCAGAGTCTCTGTTCTGTGGTAGTTCCTTCCACTTTGATTAAAATACATTTTTAAAAAACTCTTCCATATTCTGCTGAAATATCTTGAAGTAGAATAAAATCACTTTCATTAAAAAACAACATTAAAAGATTTTTGTGTTTTTTTGTTGTTAATCCTCACTGGAGGATATTTTTCTATTGATTTTTTTTTTTTTTTAGAGACAGTGGCAGGGAGCGGGAGAGACAGAGAGATAGAAACATTGATGAGGTAGACATACATCAACTGGTTGCCTCTTGCACGTGCCCTGACCAGGGCCTGGGATCTATCTAGCCTGCAAGCAAGGTATGTGCTCATAATCAGAATTACTAGTAAACCCGGGACCCTTCAGTTTGCTGGCCAATGCTCTATCCATTGAGCCAAACTGGCTAGAGCAAGATTCTTGTTTTACGGGGAAAAAAGTCATAGGTCTAGACATACATCAACTGGTTGCCTCTTGCACGTGCCCCGACCAGGGCCTGGGATCTATCTAGCCTGCAAGCAAGGTACGTGCTCATGATCAGAATTACTAGTAAACCCGGGACCCTTCAGTTTGCTGGCCAATGCTCTATCCATTGAGCCAAACTGGCTAGAGCAAGATTCTTGTTTTGAGGGGGGAAAAGTCATAGGTCATTCTTGTCCACCTAAATGATTTTTACTTTTGTATAATCCTGTTCAGTCTTTGTTCTTATATCTTTCTATAGTTGCGGCCATAGTGTGCACATATGACTTTAGATCATACATATTTTTCTATATTTGAATATTAGCTTTCTTACTGACCATTTTTCCTGGTTGCATAATCTTTCTGGGTGACCTGCCTTCTGGGAAGGAGCCTAGGCTATGGGTTTCAGTTTCAGCTCTGCCTCTTAGTAGCCAAGGAACCTGGGGGAAATGCCGAATCTGCCTGTCTTCATTATTCTAGCAGTCTGTAAGTGCAGATGATGATAATAACATCTACCTCAGAGCTGCGAGCATGAAATGAAAATATATATATTAATTACTCAGTCCAGTGCCAAGCAAATAATAATAACACGTCAAGTGGTAGCTGTTCTGAACATCATTATTGTCATTGATGCTTTCATTCAGCATTCCCATTGTAGAAAAATTCTTCTGAGCTAAAGAGGGGACAACTTTTCTTGTTTTTGTTTTTAAAGCCAGAATTTAGTTCTATTTTAAAATGTTCAAGAGACTATTAAAAAGGCCTAAGGGCCCAGAAGTCTAGATTTAATATAAGATCATACTGAGGTGGAGTCTTTTGGTTCCTCCATTGCCAAAGCCTCATTTTGGTTCTGGTTAAGGATCAGACTCTGTCCCAAGAATTCTAGTTGGGTAGTGGTGGTTTCCTCTGATTCTGGCATCTGGCCATTGGTCCATGAATGACAAAAAAAGTAATGCCAGAAACAGTTACTGTCTTTGGAAGAGAGTTGTGTGACTCAAGTGAAAAGTCACAACAGCAGTTCCAAAAAAAATAAAATAAAACATTAAAAAAAATTGATTTCAGAGAGGAAGGGAGAGGGAGAGAGAGATAGAAACATCAATGATGAGAGAGAATCATGGATTGGCTGCCTCCTGCACGCCCCCAACTGGGGATCGAGCCTGCAACCCAAGCATGTGCCCTGATGGGAATCGAACCCGGGATCCTTCAGTCCACAGGCCGACACTCTAACCACTGAGGCAAGCCGCTAGGGCAGCCGTGGGCAAACTACGGCCCGCGGGCCTGATCCGGCCCGTTTGAAATGAATAAAACTAAAAAAAAAAAAGACCGTACCCTTTTATGTAATGATGTTTACTTTGAATTTATATTAGTTCACACAAACACTCCATCCATGCTTTTGTTCCGGCCCTCCAGTCCAGTTTAAGAACCCATTGTGGCCCTCGAGTCAAAAAGTTTGCCCACCCCTGCACTAGGGCATATGTTTTTATTTTTAATAAAAACAAATTTTAGCCCTAACCGGTTTGGCTCTGGATAGAGTGTCGGCCTGCGGACTCAAGGGTCCCAGGTTCGATTCCGGTCAAGGGCATGTGCCTTGGTTGCGGGCACATACCCAGTAGGGAGTGTGCAGGAGGCAGCTGATCGATGTTTCTCTCTCATTGATGTTTCTAACTCTCTATCCCTCTCCCTTCCTCTCTGTAAAAAATCAATAAAATATATTTTTTAAAAAACCACACACACACACACAAAACGAATTTTAGTTGGAATTTAACAGAGGTATTAAATGGAAGTAATTGCTGACCTTGAGATGCTTTTTCCACAAGGAATATTAGTTTGTAAAAGATAATTTTTAAAAATAAAAATATTATTATTGTTTTCAGAGAGGAAGGGAGAGGGGAGAGAGAGAGATAGAAACATCAGTGATGTGAGAGAATCACTGATCCGGCTGCCTCCTACACGCCCCTTACTGGGGTTTGAGCCCACAACCCAAGCATGTGCCCTTGACCGGAATCGAAACCAGGACTCTTCAGTCCAAAGGCCGACACTCTACTTACTGAGCCAAACCAGCTAGAGCAAAAAGATACTTTTAAGGTTAAGAAAAATAGATTTGCCTGGCTGGTCCAGTACACCAAAAGGTTGTGGGTTCAGTTCCCAGTCAGGGCACAAAAACTAGTTTCTTAGTACATGTTTTAATTTTAGGCCATATATTGAGACTTGCTTGTGAAAGATGAGAAAGTTAGTGCACCCTTCTATAACTCCAGTGTTTGTTTAGTCTTGATTCTATATTTAATTCAGTGCTTGTGTTAGTCACTTTGCCGCACTTCTCAATTCCTTAATTCTTTACTTTTATCACTTTATATGCAAGTTTTCATTGTTCAGTATCCTCTCAAGGAGAACTTATGGGCAGTATATTTATTATCTGAATTTTTGCATGTTTGAGAAAATGTCACCTTCCTTTATACTCAAAGGAGAACTTCAGGTTAAGTCATTCTTTGCCCCAGAACTTGGAGACACTGCATCACTGTTTTCTGGCTTTGAATATTACTGTGGAGGAGTCTGAATTGGGTGTTTTCTTCTTTGTATATGTGTTTCTTCTGCCTACATTTCTTCCTTAATCCTAAAGTTTTTAGTATTGATTACTCTTTATCACTCTTGGGAAGGGCAGAATAAGTCCTTTTATTTTATGTAGTCACATCTTCAGGAAAATATTCTTCTTATAGTTTTGAATACTTTTCTTCTTTTGTCTTTTCCAAAATCATTTTATAGCTCCCCCTCATTTCATTTTACATTATTTTGTTAGTCCAGTGCTTCTCAAAAATTAAGCAAATATAAGAATCACCTAGAGAGCTTGCACTGGGCTCTATTCCTTCTGGTTCTACATCAGTAGGTGTGTGTAGGGTGGCGCCTGATAATTTATACTTTCTGACAAGTTCCCAGAGATGCTGATGGTGCAGATCCACAGACCTACCTGGCCTAGCCCAGTAATTCTCACATTTTTGGTCTCTGGGCCACTTTACTCTTTTTATTTAAAATTGAGATATAATTGGTATCTATAACATTGTTAGTTTTAGGTGTACAACATAATGATTTGATATATGTATATATTGTGAAATGATCACCATAATAAGATAACATCCATAATTTTTTTTTTTGAGATGAGAACTTTAAGATCTCTCTTAGCAACTTTGACATAGGCAGTACAGTATTGTCAGCTGTAATCACCATGCTGCACACTACATCTTCAGGGCTCATTTATTTTATAACTGGAAATTTGTACCTTTTGGCTTCTTTTACCCATTTTTCCCACCCTAACCCTTTAGGGACTCCTTTACTCTTAAAATTATTGAGGTCCTCAGAAAGCTTTGTGAGTTATATCTATTGATACTAAAACAGAAAATTTACAAATATTTATCAATTCATTTAAAAATAACTGATAAACTCATTATATATAAACCAGATATATTTTAATGAAAAATAAATATGTTTTCCAGAACAAATAAAAACATTTACTGAGAAGAGCAGCATTATTTTAAACATTCATGGGTCCCTGGACCAAACTTTGAGAACTCCTAATTTAGAGTAATGCTTGCTTTTGTTTGTTTGTTTGAAGAATTACTTAAATTGGTTTTGATTTAGAGTAATGCTTGCTTTTGTTTGTTTGTTTGTTTGAAGAATTACTTAAATTGGTTTTTAAGAGATTTGATAGCATAGATCTTAAAAGCCTTTTGTATTTTCAGGTGACTTACTGAGTAACCTGTTGCAGAGTCCTAGTTCAGCCAAACTGTTGAATCAGCCAATCCCAATCCTTGATGTGGAGAGTGAGTATATCTGTTCCCTGGCCTTGGAGTGCCTGGCCCATCTCTTCAGTTGGATTCCTCTGTCTGCCAGCATCACCCCATCCCTCCTTACTACCATCTTCCACTTTGCGCGCTTTGGCTGTGACATCCGGGCCAGAAAGATGGCATCAGTTAACGGCAGCAGTCAGAACTGTGTGTTGGGTCAGGAACGCGGCCGGCTTGGGGTCCTGGCCATGTCCTGCATCAATGAACTCATGTCCAAGAACTGTGTGCCTATGGAATTTGAGGAGTACTTACTGCGTATGTTCCAGCAGACTTTCTACCTCCTGCAGAAAATCACCAAGGATAACAATGCCCACACGGTCAAGAGCAGGCTAGAAGAACTTGATGAGAGGTAATGGAAACAGGTGTGACGTCAGCGTGCCCTGAGAGAGGGCCTTGACTGGTTATCAGTGTTCTGCATGGTGTCTGTAATCCTCTTTGGTTTCAGAATTTTGGGCTCCTGGTCAGGAACAGAAAGGTAGGTGTGTACCAGTAAGTCTAGGCTTAGCTGGAAGGGCTAGGGTGGTTAAGGGAAATGAGGTGAGTTTGAAAAGTGATTGTGAATTGTGTAGGCTTGTTGTCTTTTCCCCCATCCATCTCCTGTCCTCCCTTCCACCCGTCTTCCCCCCTCTTCCTCACTATTTGCCTGCAGGTCTGAGGTGGTGCAGGAACCGAGACTGCTGCTCATGCATAGCCAAGGACAGGAGAGGAGGTCCGTGGAGGTACAGGAGTTACAGTCTCCTTTCTCACTTGGTGTGGCTTGTCAGTTTTTACTATTTGACTTTTCCCAAGTGGACATCAGCCAGTGTATAGGATGTTGTCATATTGTCAGTTTCACACAGATGGCAAGTTTTCCTGAAAGAAAGGAGAGATGTTGATGTGGGCACAGGCTAATGTGGGCATACCTGTGTTTGTTTGTTATTGTCCTTTTGAATGGAGTCTAAAATAATCTAGCCTTTCCTAAGTGCCCTAAAAGAGGATTCCGTCACAGTACTCTGAGGCATGGCCTCATTTATTTCCCTTGTAGACAATGTCATTTCTCTGTCTTACAACTTTCATTAATATGATGCTACTGCGGGATGAAAACAAGAGGGAAAATTGAAACTTATATTAACAGCATCATGTTGACTGTTCAGAAACTTCCAAGCAGATAAATTGTGTTGAGTTAGTAAATATGTATAGATTGCCTGGCAGCCAAAGTTAATATTTTAATTAATTTTCCTTGGCTTGTTTTTTATTATTAAGCTATACAGAGTTAATCCATTTCCTTTTCCTTAAAATAATTAACAATACAAAGTGCCTAAAGTTAAGACAATTTTAGTGCTTTTTAAATTAAGCAATTTTAAAATTAAAAAAATTGGTTTGCTTCATTGTAAGCAAGCTTTGTATAAAATTTCTCTGTATAATCACAGAAAAATTCAGAAAATGGTATGGTAATATGTTTTATTTATTATTTGGAAATAGCTTTGTATATAAATTCAAAGGTATCAGTATTCAAACACTATTTTATATTTTTTCTAGCTTGTGTTAAGAAAGGCTGTATTTTCATGTTAAAATCTAACTGCTTGTATCAAGCATAAAATATCAGTGATTTTGACTTTTACTTGTAGCATAATGTTTGTTATGGCTTATCTTCGCGTGGTATAGAAATGTTGTCATGGGTTATCTTTGTACTGATTTTGTCACATGTAACTTTTATGCTCTTGGTTTTGTATTTTAATTCTATGCTTCCTATTGCCCTGTGAAAGCTGAGAGGTGCCTGGAAGCAGAAAGGTGACATAAACAATACTGTGTGCTTGCTTCCTGGCTCTCGGGTCCCTACCACTAATTCTAAACAGCTAAGTCCATTCTCCGTTGTTTAGGTGCTACTTAACCAGGTCCTTTGCTTCTCTTTCTCCACTGCCTTTTTCCCTAACTTTCTACTGCTCATTAGCACCTGTACCAGAAGGTGGGCAAGGGAAAGAAAATGAGGTGAAATAAAATTTGAAGTTTTAGCAGCTGAACAGCCTTGTTTGCATTCTTTAAAAATTTGAGTTGGTGATTAAAATAAAATTGAGATTGCGTGATATTTTACCCATGACTTCTCTTTGTTCTTTTACGGGTGCTAGGGAATTGAGTGAATCTTTCTAAAGAGCAGTAAACAGGTTGGTGACTTTGAAAATCCCTGTAAAAATACAATGTAATAAGCAGATCGAGGAATGAGGAGTTCCTGCTCATTCAGGATTAGTGATTGAAGGCGTCAGAGAGAAGTCTCTTTGTCCTTTTCGAACCCTAGAAACAGTTGATTTCAGTGCCTTACTGTTTTTCAAGAATTTGGCCCCATGATCCTTATCAAACAAATGAATGTTATTAAAGCTGCAAAGAAGTTTACATATGTGTGCAGGCAGACCAGTGGGCCATCCTCAGGGCAAATAGGTCCCAAGAACCATATGGGACATTTTATTTATGGCCTAATTTTGCTCCTCTGAGACAAAGTCTTCTTCTCCCCTTTATTATTTCATATATCTGTGCTTTTTAAAAATGGGATTTTTCAGTTATGAGTGTCAGAATTGGTTTAGCCATTATTTAATTTTTGGCTAAGGCCTGTTATATCTTTATCTTTTTTGTTATTGGTCTCTGAAATGTGATTTATGGAGCTATGTCCATCTCATTTTCTAATCACCTTTTGGTATTTAGGGGCTTACAATGACAGTTTCTGAGATGTGAGAGTGATGATGTGCTGTGTGTTTAATAACAAAAGTCTCTTATCCTTGCAGCTGTGACCCACACTCTTCTGTGAAATGATTTTGGGAATACAGATGATTGGGGCTTCACTGTGATGTGAAAAGAGAGCACTGACTTGAGAGTGGATGGTGTCCCATTCTGCCACGAGCTGGCTGAGTAACCTTGGGCCGATCGCTTCATCTCTCCAGGCCTCTGTAAAATGAAGCATCAGATTAAATTGTCCCGAGGCTTTTCCAGCTCTGACAGCCTTCTTCCCTTGTTTTTGAAATCACTTTGGAGTGGATTGGGATGTGCTGTGTTTAATTAGCTCCTGATGCTAATTAAACACAGGGCAGGCTTGACTATATCTTGCCTGGATGCCATGCCTTTTGTACAGCCTTGTTTTGGTTTTTAGCACATTCATTTTAATATTTTGGCCTCCTACCAAAGAAAACCACCCTTCCAGACCTGCCACGTTGAAATGACACACATGATCTGCCCATTGACTTTTTAGAATAATTTCCTTTCACTTTATTTGGGCCATAACACTAACGATTCAGAAAATGTGAGCACTAGCTTATACAATGCTTCATAGATGGTGTTTGAGGATTAAAGTTGCTTTTCTGCTATGTTTCAGGTGGTAATGGAATGAAGGGTTGCCTGACCTGTAGGTAATTGTTGCAGGCCTTTATATTTTTAACTGAAAATATAAATTTGTATAGTTCTTTACTGAAAGAAATTTGGATTGAGTTTTCTTTTAAGGATGTGCTGCGTGTCTCATTGTCACCTTTTGTCTTCTCTTATTTAGCTACATCGAGAAGTTTACTGACTTTCTGCGGCTCTTTGTGAGTGTTCACCTAAGAAGAATTGAGTCCTACTCCCAGTTCCCCGTGGTGGAATTTTTGACACTTTTGTTTAAGTACACATTTCATCAGGTAATGCCCCAGAATTGCCCGTCCCTTTCTCCCCCAAAAGTCTGCTTTCTTATTTTCAGGAGAAAGAATGACTTTACTTCCCAAACATTTTGCAGTGCTTAGTATGTAAAGATGAACACATTTATCCTTCATAACAACCCAGTGAGGTAGGTATTATTATTATTATTATCATCTCCACTTAACAGGCAAAGAAACTGAGGCACAAAAAATAACTTGCTCAGGACCATACAGTAAGCAATGGAGCCAGGATTTGAACCCATACAGTCTGTGCTCTCTTATGGTGTTGTTGGAGAAGCATACATTCTCCTAATCCCCAACCCCCTTCAACAAATATTTTTTGAGTTCCTATTATATTTCAGGAGCTAGGTATATATAATCTTCAAAGTCCTTGCCTCCATTGAGTTTACATTTTAGTGACCCAGTACTTTTTATTTGTATATATTTTAACAGCTTTACTGAGGTAAAATTTATATACTACTAAATTCACCCACTGTAATGGGACAACGCAGTGACGTCAGGTACTGTAGACTGGTGCCATCATCACCACAGCCCAGTTGTAGACATTTCCTTCATACCCTATCCCTTGTGCCCATTTGTGTGTGTGGTTAAAATCAGCTTTTTTATTGAGGTATCACACACATACAGAAAAGTGCAGACCATGTAACCAGCACCTAACTCAAGAATTAGAACATTAGCCATTAACAGCATCCCCCAGAAATCTCCTCCTGTCCCTTCCCAGTCACTTCCCCCTCATTTCTCCCTGAAGTAACCCCAGTCCTGATTTTAACATCCCAGATTAGTTTCTAAGGGAAACAAACAAAGTATATTTGTTTTGTCTGGCTTTTTTCATTTAGTATTATGTTTGTGAAATTCATCTGTGCTGTGTGGTAGTAGTTCTTTTTCATTGCTTTATAGTAAGTCATTGTCTGAAACTCTATCCCACTGCCAATTTGGGCTGCTTCTAGTTTTGGTGACCAGGGATCATGTTGCAGTGAACATTTTTGCACACGTTTTTTGGTGTACATATGTAGCTCTTTCTGCTGGTACATACTAGGGATGAAATTGTCGGTGAGGGCATCTGATTTTATAAGAAGACTTTTATGGTTGTTTAAACCACTAATGTAGCTTCATGGGGCCAGAGGAGAGGCAGGGGTCCAGGCTGGGAGAGGTTTGTGTATGTGATAGGGGACTTGGAGTTAGGATTTAGTGTGCGAGCCAGCCTTCCTCAAGGAGGTGCTTGGCACTCCGTCAGAGCACCCAGTGGTAAGGTGAACCATTCCTGGGAAGGGAAGGGCGCAGGTGGAGGAGGGTAACCACAGGCTGTATTGGTTCAACTCAATGATGTTCAGTAACTGTAGACTGGTGCCATCATCACTGGACTCTGTGAGACCTCCAAGTGTCAAGATGTCTGACAGTCCAGTGAGTGCAGAGCAAGAAGGAAAACGTGCTGGCTCCCCAGGCCTCAGGAGGAACAGAAGAGGGGATGGAATGTAGGAGGGTGAGGATGGGAGGGAGGGAGAGACATCAAAGGTGGGAAAGTTTTGAGAGGGGTCCAGACAAATCCTAAAGGGGACCAGGAAAAAGAAGGATTTGATAGATAGCATAGGGCAGTGGTCGGCAAACTGCGGCTTGCGAGCCACATGCGGCTCTTTGGCCCCTTGAGTGTGGCTCTTCCACAAAATACTGACTTCTGCGCATGGGCCATGAAGTTTAAATTGCACTGTATGTGCGCGCCCGCACGTGGTATTTTGTGGAAGAGCCACACTCAAGGGGCCAAAGAGGCGCATGTGGCTCGCGAGCCGCAGCTTGCCGACCACTGGCATAGGGCAAGTGCAGCAGAAATGAAAGAGAGAACGAGCCAGCGCTGACGTCAGAAAGAAGGGGTCGTTTGGGAAAATGGAATGAAAATGTCCTGCAGTTTTGCTCCCAAGGTAAAAAGGGATCTTTTAGTGTATATGGTGTAGAAGAATGTGTTCAAGTGTGCATGTCTTAGGACTACTTCTTTGGATTTGGACTAAAAAATTCTTGTTGAGTTCTGGTTGTTTCTGTTAAGTCTGTGTCCATGGAAAAAGTCTATTTCGTTTCTTTTAATTTCAGTTTCCTTACCTAAGGTGAGCGGCTGCAGTGGGCATTTTCAGTGTCTTTCCCGGTGTTCATCTTTTATGATTCTTTCATTAGAATCCTACATTGTAGTTCTCCATTGAACTGAAAAGGGTAGTTTTATATACATATACATATACATATACACATACATATACATATACATATACATGTTTATATGCTGGGAAAAGAAATACATATGATAATGAAACAAACAACAACCTCTTCTTCCTCCTTTACCTGCAGGTCTCTGTCACCTGAGCTCCCTTCTGCTCTGTGGCCTCCTGAGTGAGGACCTTTCTTTCTGGGTGCAGGTTCTTGGACTGTGGTGTCCTCTAGGTCTGGGCAGAAGCAGATGCTGAGTATTGGGCAGAGGGGTGGGAATCTGGAGGGAGCTCCGTGCAGTTACCACAGGGTGGGCAGCCTTTTGCTGGAGAGGCAGAGTGGAGAAGAGATGGCAGGGCACACCTGCATCAGGAGCTGGTGGTTGGGGAGTTTTTTGGATACAATTTAAGAATAAGAAATTAAATGCTCTCTAGAGAGAGCTTTAAGTTCTCATCTACTCACTAACAGTGTGAACTTACTTCATCATAGTTTAGTTCACTGTAAAGTGGGGAAATATGGCTCTTCTCTTGTCTGCAGGGTTATTATGGATATACTCAATATTTTTGCCTTTTGTTTATAAATTCATGAAAAGTTTGGTATTGGTAAACATATTTTGAAAGAATAGATAAAGAATAAGATAAAGATGGTGTTAGTATCTTTCTTCTCTTCCTTTTTCTACTTTGTTTTTCTCACCTAAGAGTCTTGCTGCAGTCCCTCCAGCCACTAGTGCTCACCAGGTGTTTGCCGCCACTGTCACTTTCCTTGCTTGCTGAGGCCCTGGGGTGTCTGCAAATAATCATATGATTTCTGTCTTCCTGCTTCTTCTCTTACTGTGTCATCACCAATTCCTTCTTGGTCTTGCATTTTTCATTTTGCCCCTTCTTCCTAAAACTCTCTGAGATAGTATGGCTGGGGGGTCGGGGAGGGCTCTGGACCAGAATCTCAAGATCCCCATTTTAGTTCTGTTTCTGTTCCTTATCTTGTCACCTTGGGCAGGTAACTTCTGAGCCTTGGCTCCTTTATCTATAAAATGGGAAGTAGAAAAATACATCTGTCCAGTTTCCAGGACTGTTGTGAAGATAACATAGACCAGCCCAGCCGGGTGTGGCTTAGTGGTTGAGTGTCAACCTCTGAACCAGAAGATCATGGTTCGATTCCCTGTCAGCCTGGGTTGCGGGCTCGACCCCCCTAGTGGGCGGTGTGCAAGAGGCAGCTGATCAGTGATTCTCTCTCAACATTGATGTTTCTAGCTCTCTCTCTGTCTCCCTTCCTCTCTGAAATCAATAAAAATATATTTTTTAAAAATCACATAGACCAATGCAAATGACAACTAACCACTACACACCACTTGCAAATAAGAGTGGTATCATTAGTTTCTTAAAGAAACTTGTCAGGATCTTTAGCGATTAATTATCCCTGGAATCTGATAAGTAAATCTGAGTGCAGGTACATTTAAAAAATGGGCTTGTGTGGGTTCTGAAAAGTTGGACAACTTCAAACGTGCAGTCAACCTATAATTGTTATGATCTTACCAGTCTATACCCACAGCAATCGTCAATGGCCAGATGTGGGTTATACACAAGGTCTCACAGTGGGGCTTGCATATATGGATGTGAGTGGCAATATTTCAGGTCCTACAAAAGGTTTATCTGCCCACCTTTTTTTCCAGTCTTGACACACATAGTACATCTTTAATTCAAAGGCATGGTAAGACATGTATAATTATAAAGTATTTTGATAACACCATAAAACCTGGACTTATGTGGTGGCTTTTCTCTAATACACTTCCATGTGCATCTGGTCAGTTGTGTTCTTTGAAGGGGGCTGGTATTTCAAACCAAAGAAGGATAGCTGGGTGACTTAATGAAGGGAAGCTCAGCAAGCCAAAAGCCAGGACAAGACTATATCTCCTGGCTGGGCAAGTCGAGTGCCTGCCTACCAATTGCCCACCTTATCTCCATGTGGCTTATCAATTGTTTTCCTGCTTAATCATCTGCGTCATTTCTTGTCATGGACATGTCCTGCATTTTTTGAAGTCCGAAGTCGAGACAGGAAGCGGTCTTTCTTTTTTCTGAGGATGGCTTGTCAGTGGTCCTGATGGAACTCTAGCCGTCAGGTGCCAGGGCTGCCTGGCGGGTTGTGAGCTTGGAGTCTGCTGTTTTTTAAGTTATAGTTTTCAGTCTCAGACTCAACTGGGCACATAACTCCCTCTGCCCACTACCACCCAACATTAGTTATTCCTTGGGCAAGTTTCATACATGTCCATGTAAACTTCTGGATTTCCTTGTGGATCAGAAATGGAAGGAAAACGGATCCAAGATGATAGTATTATTTCTTCCCACATCTGATCCCGCTACCAATATGTGGTTCAATCAAGCAATCACAACTAAAACCAAAGAGTTCTTGTAGGTAGCAAGAATTTGAGTGGATATGTAAGGGATTGAGGGACCACAAGTTGAAACTGAATATGCACTAGTATGAGGAGGACTAGATGGTGGAGAGTATAATGCCTGGATTTTGTAGGAAATAGAGCTGAAAGCTCTCCAGAGAGTTTGTCAGTGCAATCACTCAAATGGTCCAGCACTAGGACCCTACAAAGACTTTGTCTCCTCTCCTCACTTTGTCCTTATCAACACTGGGTTAGAGATGCTGTTAGCCTGTTGGACACCCCTACTTCTGCAGATGAGATAATGCCTGAGAGTCAGACTTAACAAGCTTATTTTCAGTCTGTTATATAAGAAGACTGCAAATGGTCTTTCCTAATGTTCAAATGTGTAAACTTGGCACCTTTGGAGCCACTGAAATTTATTTTCAGTTTTGTAATGGTATGTCGTGGAAAGAGCATTTGCCGGAGGTAAAAGGACCTGCTCCTCCCCTGAGCTTGAATAAATCATATCTTTGGATCTCAGTTTCTTTCTCTATAAACAGATTTGAATTGGATAATCTGAAAGAGTCCTTCTTACCACTGTCTTAGATTTTAATATAGGTGTTTGCTTGGCTTATTTTGTAACTCAATTTGTCCCACTTAGTATCTCCCTAATGATGTGTTCTTTCCACATCTGATCCTGCCACCAATTATGTTCTTTCCACATCCTGCCACCCCCGCCTTCCCTCTGAGATTCGACAATCTGTTCCATGCTTCTCTGTCTCTGATACCCTTGTCTCGTTAGGTTCAACAGGCCTAATTGTGAAGACCCTCTAAAAGACACCAGGAAGTTGAGGGAACCTAGACTTATGGTTGTAACATTCTGGTAGAAGTATACTGGTGGGTGGGTTCCTAAGGAGTATTTGCATTAAGTAATTTCATTGTCTGGATTTCTTTTGTACCATAGCCTACTCATGAAGGTTACTTCTCTTGTTTGGACATCTGGACGCTGTTTTTGGACTATCTGACAAGTAAAATTAAAAGTCGTCTGGGAGACAAGGAAGCAGTGCTCAACAGGTAAACCCCAGAAATGTTGATAACTTAGAAATAGACATTTTTGCCAGTTTTTCTTATGGCCTTGAAGGGTCAACCATGCAGCCAGACCTCTTCAGTGAAACTGAGTCACATAACCTAAAGTAGTAATGCCATTTAGTATTTTCTTCTTTTCCCCCCTTAATATTTCATTTTCTGAAAACATTTTTTTTTCTGATTAAAAAAATATTGTTAATTTTTTTAGGTGTGATATGCTTCATGTTGTGTGTGTGTGTTTCTTTTTAAAATATATATTTTTATTGATTTCAGAGTAAAGGAGAGGGACAGAGAGATAGAAACATCAATGATGAGAGAGTATCATTGATCGGTTGCCTCTTGCACGCCCCACACTGGGGATCGAGATTGCAACCCAGGCATGTGCCCTGATGGGGAATCGAACTGTGACCTCCTGGTTTATAGGTCAATGCTCAACCACTGAGCCCCGCTGGCTGGGAATTGTGTGTTGTTTGTAATGACATTAGTGAAGTATTTTATTGGATGAAATGATGTGACACCTGGGATTTGCTTTAAAATAATCCACTGGGAAGAGAGGGGGAAGTGGGTTGGCCATATGTTGGTTGAGATTGAACTTAGTTGATAGGAACTTGGGGTTCATTATATTCTTACTCCTTTTGTATGTGTTTGAAAATTTCCTAAATAAGGCAATAAATACTTGTCATGGAAAAGTATTTATTTTAGAAACCAGGCAAAGATAGAAAATATAAAGAAGATAAGTTATCCATAATTTTGTAATCCACAGATAATTACTTTTGCACTTTTAAAATTATATATATGTATTTAAAAAAATTTTTTTTTAATCTTTATTGTTGCAAGTATTACATATGTCCCCTTTTTTCTCCCATTGACCCTTCTAGCCCATCCCCACCCCAGACCTTCACCACCCTATTTTCTGTGTCCATGGGTTATGCATATATGCATACAAGTGCTTTGGTTGATCTCTTCTCTCCCACCCACCCACTCCACCTTCCCTCTGAGATTCGACAGTCTGTTCCATCTCCTATGTCTCTGGATCTATTTTGTTCAACAGTTTATTTTGTTCCTTAGATTCCACTTATGAGTGAGATCATGTGATACTTGTCTTTCTCTGACTGGCTTATTTTACTTAGCATAAAAATAGAAAATGGGGAAATGTTTTTCCCCCATGTTTCTTAAGCTCATTTTTTTGCTTGAAGGTAGAAAGTGTGTTTCTTGTACACTGTGGTCATTACTTCATTTGAGAAATAATGAACTAATGTATTTAGAATGCTTGGCACATTATAAATGCTCAGTAAATGGTATCAGTGGTTGGTGGTGGAGATTGTGAGCATGCCTTCCCCAGAAATGTGCCAAATGGAGGTGGTGAGGAGAATCCCCGCCTGGGAAGAGGTTGGATGGAACCTCTAAAACCCTTTCCCCTGCTGAGGTTTTATGAGCTTTTAAAATCCTGTATAATAAAGAGCTAATATGCAAATGGTCATCACGCCCTCATGCCCTCGCACAGGGCCGTGGGACCTGAGACTGTGCCCCCCGCCCTGCCGGGCTTGACGGGGGTGGGGCCAGCCGGGTCTGGGTCTCACACAATTTCAAGGTGTGTGCAGGTGGGCGGGGACTTGACTCTGGGTCCCTTGGCGTGCCCCAGACTCTGACAGGAGGGAGATTTTCATATACATTTTACTAATTTTCTTTCATCTCTTGACACTTCTATTATACAGAAAGGGCAAATAGCAATATTAAAATATTTCCTCTAATTAATTCCCTTTTAATGTGCACGAATTTCGTGCACCAGGCCACTAGTTGTAAATATTTGCATTTTAAGTTTAAACATTTGCACTTTTGTTCCCAAACATTATTTTTGTGATTGCAAAATAGCTTCCAAGTTGCTATGGTGCCAACTCACGTGTGGTTATGGGTAGTACATTCATGTATCAGAAACCTTATTACACAACAGTAGATCCTGTTTTGGTGAATTTGCTAACTGTAAGTAATTGTGTTTTTGAATGAAATTCTTCAAAGCAAATGTGCTTTCGCCAAATTCTCTTTCTTGGATGCCTAACAGTTGCATCGTTTGGTCCTGGGACTATGCCTAATTTTGCTATATTTAGTTGTAGATATTCTTTCATATTTCTCAGGCTTGTTGAAAGAATAAACTGGGGAAGTGATTAATATGGAAATCCTTCTTAAAGCACAGTACAAGTGTGCTTTAGGTGTGGAGAATATGGTTTCATTGAGAAAATGTACACTAACAGATTATTACTGTTAAAAGTACACTTAGACAGACTATTGTCCCAATGCAAGGATCAGTGGTATAGAGTTTAAATTCTTTTGCTGCTTCATGGTAGCAGTGCTACTTTGGTCAGGTTATATGCTGACCACATTTATTTCCTCTTGCAGAATTAGCATACTAATACCTGTCTTGAAGGTTGGCTAGGATGTATATAGAATCATATATATAAAATACCTGCACAGCACCTAACATATGATTAGACACTCAGTCACAGCTATGACCCCAACAGTAATAATAATAGATGATGTTGCTGCCATTTGGCTATGGTGGTGACCATGGAGTTAAGTGACAGGGCCCCTGGAGAGCCTAAAGGCCTTTAGCCTTCCTGCTGATGTTGACCTATCTGCCCAGGCACCTGTTATCTGATAGCATCTGATACCACAGTTGTCAGTGGTTTTGGCTGACTACTATTTTTTTGTTATTGTTAATCCTCACCCGAGGATATTTTTCCATTGATTTTTAGCGAGAGTGGAAGGGAGGGGGAGAGAAAGAGAGAGAGAAACATAGATGTGAGAGAGACACATCGATTGGTTGCCTCCTGCACACCCCCAACCAGGAACAGGGATCAAGCCTGCAACCTAGGTATATGCCCTTGGCCCAAATCGAACCTGTGACCCTTCAGTCCGCGGGCTGACACTCTATCCACTGAGCCAAACTGGGTAGGGCCTGGCTGACCACTTTTAACACTAGGGATTTTTCTTATTGATCATTTGATTATCATCCTAAATGAGGCTTTCTAATTTTTCATGACTGTTTAAAAAATATATTTTTATTGATTTCAGAGAGGAAGGGAGAGGGAGAGAGAGATAGAACATCAATGATGAAAGAGAATCATTGATTGGCTGCCTCCTGCATGCCCCTACTGGGGATTGAGCCCACAACCCGGGCATGTGCCCTTAACTAGAATCGAACCTGGGACCCTTCAGTACACACGCCGATGCTCTATCCACTGAGCCAAATGGGTTAGGGCAGTGGTAGGCAAACTGCGGCTCGCGAGCCACATGTGGCTCTTTGGCCCCTTGAGTGTGGCTCTTCCACAAAATACCGACTTCTGCGCATGGGCCACGAAGTTTCAATCGCACTGTATGTGCGCGCCCGCACGTGGTATTTTGTGGAAGAGCCACACTCAAGGGGCCAAAGAGCCGCATGTGGCTCGTGAGCCACAGTTTGCTGACCACGGGGTTGGGGCATGACTTTTTTAAAAGCATACACTTACAACACTTTTATGTCTTTAAACAACAAAAATACCCAAACCCCAAGCCTTCAGAGCTGGTCTGTGGCTTATGCTGTGAAAGAGTAATCATCATCTGAAGACCTGCTTGTCCATCAGATACCCCTTAGTGGTCTAGGGTAGTAGACTGACCTGTAGTAGACTGAACGGTGTATAAGTAGTCCACTGGGGTCCACAAAGAAAAAAGTTGAAATTCACCTGATAAACTTTATCTGTCACCTTTTATACTGTACATTATATAAATATGCTCAAAAGTTTTTAAATGAAAGTTTTGAAAGTTTGGTAGCCACTGTTTTAGTTATAGAAGACCCCAATATATCAGACTGTGCTGTTTTGCAGAAGCAGCTGAAAAAGAGCACTGGCTATTGGTAATTACCACATTCATTTTATCTGAGAGCTTATAAATATGGTCAAATGTTTTTCAACCGATAAAATATATCTGAGAGAAGTTGGGGTGCTTTTGGAATCAGACTTGTGGTTGAGCCAAAATTTCAGAAACAATTGATCTTACAGGAAGTAGTCAAGAATGTTTTCTCAGTGTCTAAGTGGGAAATGTAGGTGTGGTTAATTCATAGAGGCAGCACTGAGTTCCTGTCCCTTGTGGTTTAAAGGTTTTGCATCATCCGTCACTGACAACAATGTGGTAGACATTGTAGGCTACAAATTTAGAAGCACAAATGTACATGGATTTATTTTTGGTCTTGGGAGCTTGGAAATTGGAGCTCTGCATATTCCTTGCTCAGTGAGAATACTCCAGTGCTTCTTGATCAGAACTGGTGGGGATTTTAGAGAACTTGAGTTCCAATGTTAATGGAGTAAAAAAGTTCTGTAACTTACCCAGCTGAACTTGCTGGTGGGGCCCAGTGGCTGTGGCTCAGTGGTTGAGCTTCAGCCTATGAACCAGGAGGTCATGGTTCGATTCCTGGTCAGGACACATGCTCCTGTTTTGGGCTAGATCCCTAGTGTGGGACATGTGGAAGGCAGCCGATCAATGGTTCTTCATCATTGATGTTTCTGTCTCTCTCCCTCTCTGAAATCAATTTAAAACATAAGAATTGCTGGTGGGGCTCATTGTCCAGATTTGCCATTTTGAGGTGGTGTGGAAAGACCTGAATTTCTTTCTACTTTTCCTCGTTTTGTACTTTATGGATGGTTGTACCTATGTTGTAAGTTGTTGAGAAAATTAAGTGAACCAGTGTGTGTAAAGCACCGTGGCTGACAGTAAGTGCTCAGTAAATATGTATTGGTGTTCTTCCCTTTTCTCTCTCGCTCTCTTTTCTTTGTGCTTGTCAATGTGAAGGGAGCCACCTGTGTAGAAACTTATTTTTACAGGAAGATGAGGAAACCTGAAGTGAGTTAAGCAACTAAAGTTATTGACTTTGTCATGAGACTACGGACAAGTGCTGGCCACAGACCAGTCAGGGATTCTGGGTGACACTAGATTGAACTGTAAACAAAAGTGGGTGAGCA